TATTACATTCTTGGTTTTATGATGGGAACCCGAACAGTTCAACAATCTCTCGTAACGAATTTTTTTATTAGGTCAAGTTTGAAAATTCTGATGAATATTTTATTGATGCTTTAAGGTCAGGTGAGGGTTATTCCCACTTAGAAATATATTGCTACCTATATTTTCAAGTAAAAACCGATGCCACTACTGTTTGGCATCAGAGTACCCAAGCGGGTATCAAACCTTGGACCTGTGATTGAAATTCCACGACTTTAACCTAACACTATAGTCTAACTAATCCACGAGAGAGTTCATAACATTTTTGTTATGCTGATATATACAAAAATTTGTTTATTGTTTTACAAATTTAATGACCAAAAATAACAGCACAGTTCCAGTTTCTATTATCTTTTAGAACATAATGGGGAGGCTTAAGTTGTTTGTAAGACATTAGTATAAATTTTTTTTTTATCAAAAACACAATTTTAATTAAAATAGAAAAGCACAAAAAAGTAATTTCCAAACTAGACATTACCTTTTTAATTGAACAGGATCTCACCGTATAAACTATATATTCACCATCAACCGAGTATATTTTCAAGAATCCATTGGCATTTGACTTATTCAGGGCGCGTTCCACTACAATATCCATGAGAGCACTTAATTCCACATCAGCATATCGGAACCGATCGAACCCTGAAATATTTAGATTGCTCATGTAGATACAGAAACAGAACCGTTTCGCTGGCTGCATACAAAAGCAGATCATTTTTTTGCTATGGTATAAAATATCAAATTTAATTTTATGACTTGAATTGATGATCTTCTTGATATATCGAATAAATTGTTCCCAAATCCTTCATGATAGATTTGAAGAAAAACAGAATGTACGTACAGTCTTTCAAACATAATAGCATTTTCATTCATATTTTACATATTCATTTTATATACATGAGCAAATCGACTTGCATGAACAGAATACATAAAAATAAGAGAATATAAATGCTTTTTTAGTTTAATTTTTTCTTTCCCTTACATACTACCTTCTTATGTAATTTTTCGCCTCAATGGAGTGAAAATTCAATTTTTGAGGAATATATTATATTAAATACATTCAGTTCAAAGATATTTTAATCAGATTTAATGAAATTAATTTGAAACTCGCACTTACAGGCTTAAAAATAAAATATTTATTCATAAATATAAATAAAATAAGTAAAAGCTCGTTAATTCGCAAAATTTTATTTTAAATAAAAATATTTTAAAATTAAGATTTTCAAATTATATTCAAAAACTAAATGAATTTAAGTATAAAAGACATCACAATATTGTTAAAATATTTCTATATTATTATCAAAATATATACCTACATATTCTGTTCCAGTACTTTTACCGTGCTTTTCATTTTCATTGAAAGCTTTTATTTAAATTGCTAATATTGAATCAATTATAGTATCGGATTCAGAATTTAGTTTATAATTTACTAACTTAGTTTATAATCCATAACTAATTTTGTATTGATATAGGTAAATAATAGCATGAAATAATGTTCATTAGTATTGATCATGGTTGATTTATCTATATGTAAAAATTAATAGTTGAAATTATTAAATAATCTTTGTGTTTGAAAATTCGTACTCAAGTCAAGATTCAAGAATTTCTATATTTTGCTATATATTTTGATGATTATATTTTGCTATATTCATATTTATGAATATGGTACATAATTTTTAAACAAAACGAAGAAAACAAGTTTATCAATATGTTGAACATTATTATACAAATCAATCATTTATAGAGTTTATGATATGTTACAATGCCCAGATATTAGAAGATTAATGAAATACGCCTACTGGAATTTTGATCTATTTTTTTTTTTTGAAAATTTTGAAAAAACACATTTGAAAATATTGAAATAATGATGATTTTTGACCACTAAATGGTATTTTTTTAAACCTTTTTTATGGATCTTCGAAACCGTCGAATTTGCCTTTGCCAAAATCTAGTAAGCACGCCTCAATAGGATCCAAATTATTTTTGAATTATTCAAATCGGTTGATCCGCGCTCGACGAACTTTTGTCCACCACCGCGATATCTCAAAAACCAGTGAAGTAAAAAGTTTTATAACAACTTTATTTGTAAGTAGAGGGAACAAGAAGTGTAATCAGCCATCACCTTGATTTTTACGATGTTTTTATCGGAGAAAAAATGGCAGTGTTTGAAAGTCCATAACAAAAGTATTTTCTTTTTTTGTTATTTGTTTTTTTTTTCTGAGAGCACCGTTGTTTGGTTCAAGAGACCTTAATATAATTAAGTATACGTTATTTATTGGTTTTATAAGAAATATTGTTGAAAATTAAGTTATATTTAACTGTTTTTTTATATAATCTTTATAAAAGCTCACTCTTGGCTGGGGTAAAAAGGACCCATTGAACCTTTTTCCTAGCAACGGTGTAAAAAATAAAAAAAATAAAAAAAAGTAAATTTAGTCAAAAAATGCAATTTTGCAAAAGATAAATGAAATAAATGGATATTACAACTTTGCCGATGAATATTTCTTATGAAGTACCAGATCAATCTATTTACAGATTTATCTCTGTGAAAAATGAACCCAAGAAATTTATATTTTGCATTGGTAGAATAATGTAGCTATTATTTTGTAAAATTGCTTTCAACTTAAAAAAATACATTAGATCTGTTTGCTTTCGACCGTCTCAATTTACCCCGCTAGTGGGAATGTAAGGTAATATGGATGAATTAGCTGGGATTCATATATATTTCTTTCTTTATTTATACAGTGCATTTCAACGTTATAACTATTTTCCAAATCCAACATGTATTGTCTTCGGGAAATAAAAAGGAGTAAAGCTGTCGCATTACAACTCACACTTCATGAAAAGTGAGCCACCTGACACATATCCGACTACGCTTGTCGCTAGTTTCATTCACCTCACAGACGAGAAACATGGGAATAAACAGTTTAAAATATCATGAAATATTTATTATGATCTAAACTCTCAACCTATGCAAATTTTATATTACTTATGCGTCGTTTTTATTCAATACTTTTATATTTGCAAAAACATTTCCAGTCATCATTGTTAGGCGATGAAAAATACAATTTAATTAATGCAAAGTGGTATGTAGAAATAATAAATTATTTAGATAATTATGAATGAATTATAAACTATATCTCCATTTTTTTATTAAATTTAACTTAGCTAAATTATATTAAGAAAGGGGGTATCTGAAAAATTTAGTGTGCAATAATTCGACTTCAATGAATTATGTTCGCATTATTAAATTAATTTTTTTCATTTTATATCATTATGATACAGAAATCGGAAATGCTATGTATGTATATAAAGAATGTTTATCCGAAAACGGTCTGATAGATTTCGATTGTTAACCGGTTGAGTCGTTGCTTCAAAATTATCAATTGAAAACATAATTTTCTTTCTACTTTTATTTCAAAATTTTACGTTTTTTTCTACGTTTATTCATAATGTGTTATTTAGATTTTGAAAAGTCAGAAAGTCGTAGTTTGGTTTTGTGTTTAGCGTCAACATATATTGAATTTTTTTAATAATAAACAATAAAACTTTCATATTTAGTTCTGAAAATGTATCAATTGGTTAGCTATTCTCCTTAACATTGGCCCATATTAAATTGACTAATTACATAATTAAGTCAGAATGCAACTTACACTAATTCGTTTTGTTATAAAATTTAAAAAAAATGAATATCTGTTTGCAATAATTATTGTAAATTTGTATCCAATTAAAAGTTCAAGACATTCTAAACTTTAGTATATTTTTTATGCTTTTTTATAAAAATTGAATATTGTTTGCAATAAAATTAATAATTATATTTTAATTTAGAGTTTTGACTGATTTGGTAACTATATGGACTATGGACTATAAATATAAAGGACGTTGCCTTAAAATTTGTGTATATTGTAAATAAACTAAGTTGGTCAACTAAATTCAATATCTACATTTTTTAACAATAATAGTCTATATCAGTAATTTATTTTGATGAATATTTATTTGTACAAAACATATTCAATGTATAGTTTTAAAAGTAATTATTGAATTTTATTTTTCGTACGTAAGTGGTTAGAACTAAATCAGAGGTCCTAAGTTTTATCCCGCTTTAAAAGCCTGATGTCAAGCATTAATGATATCAATTTTCATTTCGAAAAATAGATAGCAAAGTGTTCTTGGCCCCATCTGGCATTTCTGCATTAATGAAAAATCATTACTATTACAGAAATTGTAATAAGCAAATTAATCACATAAAGATGAGACAACTGTTTGTGTTGCTGGTTATTCATCACAACAGCTTATAGAACCCTTCAGTTCTGATCAATGCTTAAACATAAAATAAAAATAAAAAAAGTTGGAATGAGTTAAAATATCAAGATATAACAATTGTTATAACTTCAGTTCTGATCAATGCTTAAACAAAAAATACAAATAAAAAAAGTTTAAATGAGTTAAAATATCAAGATATAAAAACTTAAGTTCTTTTGCATTAGCTGCTTAACGTATACATGGCTTCACATTCCCAATATCCCAATTAGTAAGGCTATCATGGGATTGACTTTTGATAATGATTAAAAATATTAACTATAATTAAGTAAGAATAATTGATGGATTTCTTATTAATAGCATTTTTACTAGAAAAAAGTAGCGTTCAAAACACCTCATAAAATAAAGTCTATTATGTCTGATTGCTGTTGAATAAAGCAACATTTGTTAGAAGGCTTTTGTACCAAGTTATCCACCATAAATTCTTAAAATAACTTTACGCTTTATTTATGTCCTTGTAATGTCCTGTATTATGGTGTACACAATATAGTATAAGATTTAATTTTGTCTATAATAACATTCTCATACAAAACGAAGTTACTATAAAATTACTCTGTCACCGCACGCAATCTAATCCTATTATTGGGCTCCTGCTGATTTGTTTTTCTTATCCTTTTCCAGAGGTTGCAGGACGCGTCGACCGCGTCTCCTTCAAGCTGGCCCATCAGTTCTGGTTCTCATATCCGCCGCCAGGAGCCGGAGGCAGTGGCGGTCAGTGCCCCATCGCTGGGCATCAGGCAACGCCCGGCATGCAATGCTCTTGTACGCACCGTGCTTTAAGTAATACACCCAAAAACAATTAGAGAAATAACAAATCAAAACACTTTTTCAATTTCCGCAGAAATGTGACCAAATCGAAATAATGGGAAAAATATTTTTGATGTTGAAACGCATATTGTTTGATTTTGTAGCCATGGTAAAACGGTTTCAAAAACGATGCTCTAAGTTTTATATGCTTACCGTTATGGTGATCATTTTAGTGAAATTATTAGGCTTTTTAGTTAGAGATTATTATAAAGTAGTTGCATATTCATATAACGTCAAAACCCATATACTAAACAATATCACAATTGCCAATATATCAATAATAAGTTAGTTCTTATATATAAAATGCTTTAGAACATAAAATTAGAAGGTAGTAGTTTAAATATGACGTGAAGCATATAAAACTGATCAAAATGAAAACGTATTTTTATGAATCAAGAAATGAATAAATAAATTTTGCCCTAATTGTTAATTAGTATAACAGTATTTTATTTTATGTCAATCAGGTTACGCTTGTTTCGTATCGACAATAAAATGAAATGGGTGTGTAATATAATACAATTTATTCAAATTTGAAATACAAAATATTTATAACTCTTGATTTTAAAAATTTGACTACTCTGATTATACTTAATTATCATAGAACCGGAAGCCTAACTGACATAAATTTTGTGAAATATGAATTACTACGAGAATAATTAAATTCAAAACTCGAACAAATTTTTCGTAGTTGATTAAATCGTGGATTAATAATAAATATTACTAATAAATTTAACCATCACGTTTACAAAAAACAATCATTTAAAAAATCAATCAAAGATTCTTGATATAGTGATTTATACAGGGTGTCCTGGAACTTAACGTGAAGCCGAAATAGGGTGATAGTATTGACCTTAACTGTCCTGAAAAATTTAGAAAAAAAATATATCACGTTGTTTAGAAATTGTGACCCTTTATGTTTCACCTTGAGTTTTGGTAAAGTTATAACAATTTTTCGGTTATTGCGGTTAATTTCTAAAAAAATTTTTTATTTAAACTTTAGAACCGTAACCAAGAATAACATTTATTGGCTAAAAATATCAGAATTACCCCAAATTTTCAAGAGTCAAAACTTTTTGTTGAAGTATAGATTTAAAAATTTTAAAATCAGATTACTTTGAGAGGCCCTTCTTTAAAAAAAGTGTGTTTTATCAAAAGTTGGCGCTTTCCATCAGACTTGCAAAATTGTATAATACTTGAAAATTACTGAAAAATTTTGAATAAAAAAATAAAAACCTAAAAATGGCATGATTTTTGCTTGTGCATTTTACTCACAATCAGTTCAAATGTTGACTATATTATATGTTAAGTTCTGGGACACACTGCATATTTGTTTCTTGTTTTTATATATTCATTACGAATAATATTAATTAATTTTCATTGTACATTTGCTAAAATAATGTTTCATAACTCGCAACTAAAAATAATTAATAATTTTGTGAAATAATCCCCAATAAATATTTTAATTTTTGAATGAAGATTCATGATTTTTAATAATTAATTGCGAAATTGCTTTAATGACGAAATGAAGATGATATAAGGTTTCAAGAGTTATATTTTTCAAAAGTATCTAAAACAAATAATTCGCATTTTTTGTGTCGGTTTCATAGTCAAATATTTATTTACTTGAAAACAATAACTGTATATATACTTATTATTTTCAAGTAAATAAATATTTTATAAATTATTTTTATATTTTATATGTTATAATTTAAATTAAAAAATTGCCTCATATGAAATTCTTATGATAGAAAACATCGATCTCATCATTCGTAAATAAATAAAACAATATTTAAATACATAGAATAAAATGAACAGCTCAATATTGTGAAATTCTTATGATATAAAAAAAAACTTATGACCCTCTATCTATATTTTATCATCACTTAATAATTTTAAGCGTAACTTGATTGATCATACAAAATACAATAAATGACGATTATATCCGTAATTAAGATGGAAATGACGATTATATCCGTGTTACTCGAATACTTAAAGCACAGGTATTATGAATGCTATTCTTATTATAATTATACTAATGATTAGATTTGGCACTCGCAATATACTAATACACTTCATTAACATTCTCATTTTCACGCACATGAGTGACCAAGACCCTCACAAGTGGACTTAGTGATTAAAGTAGAGAATAAAATATAGTTTCAGGTAAAGCTACATCAAATATCAAAATTTTATTGCTTTTGATGTGGAATAACCAAGTGTTTTAGAAAGTACAGTACAGATAACCCTTACTATAAAACTGATTTCAGCTGACGTTGAAACGTACATGAACAATAATATAACATTTGATTTAAAATATTGTTTCATGTTTTGTAACAATAAACCTACCGAATACTTATAAAATAAATTCTTCTGAAATTCTTTGCTATTTTAGTATTTCCTAAATATCCACGGAAAAAACGATTGATCTTTGACTGATCGTTATTGTTCTAAAAAGTAGGGTAGAGCGGGGCTAGTTGAGCATAGGGGCAAGTTGAGCAATCGAAATATCTCGAAAACTATTCATCGTCCGTTTAAGCATTATATGGCGGAAAGATAGAGGTTTGGGAGAAATAAACATCCCGCAATCGCTAGTGGCCGCTGGACAAATGAGTGAGGTTCACGGGCGTTTTGTTTATTTTGAGACCAAAAAGTAAAAAAGTAATTCATCACGAGTTTTCGTCTGGTTTAGTCAAATGTTATTTATTTTTAATCAGGTAAATGTTATTCTTCCATATATTTATAGTACTTTTAATATGCACAGAGATTCTGGGTATAACTCTCACGGTTTTTCTATAAACTCACTTTTATTTTGAAATTCCGAGTTCGGGTTAGTTGAGCATAGTTGCTAAACTTGTTCTGTCACTAAGACAATTACCATTAACTTCCAGAAATTAATTAATATTTTTAAGATTTAAGCTAAGTCTATGAGTAATAATATAAAGAAATAATGATTTAAATCAAAAATACTGAATATAATGTTAAAATAATTCCTAAGATACGATATTGTTTTGTTGATTCTACTTTTGGTTAATTATTCAAAGAAAATTACTATAAGTTTTGTTTTCTCTGTCAATAAAGACTATAAATATAGAACTGGTTATTAAAAACTTATTTTTTTTCATCACTAATCGACATTGAACCTATGATTTGATTATACTTTCTTAGTGCTCAACTTGCCCCACCTATAGGGTACATTGAGCATACTTAACTTCTTGCATTTAAACAAATATAGCTTTTAAATTTTACTTAATACCAAAACATAGTATTAACACTTTTGTTAAGCGATAAACAACAAATCCATTAAGGGGTTAGGGGTACTTGGAATTTTTGAAAAATCGATTTTTATTTTTTTGCATTTTCATTAAGTGTAATATCTTGAAAATGTTCTCTGAAAATTTCAAGTTGATCCGATGATTACTTTTTGAGTTATTGGACCCTTACCAGCGCGTTGATGCAAGTGGAGAGCTCGATACTTATACTCAAGATTATTCTCCCTCACCTCCAGATGTTTTAAAAGCTTTTAAACCGATTTACGATGATCTCAGCAATGATAATTTACTTTCAAGATGTGTAGTTCAAGATTGAATCCATAATCAGGAAAAATTAAAAGCTTCAACCAACTAGTGTAAAAAATATGCCTAAAAACCGTGAATACTAGTTCTACTATCGTACAAATTGTTGAATACATATACATAATCATTACTATTGATTATGGGTACCCTAGGACCTAATTATGGGTATATTCCCATTGGTATGCTGAAAAATTGGATGCTGCACGTGTGAAAGTAGCAGATCAGCGCGCCAACGAGACGACACGGGAGGGCAGAATGCTTCGTAGGCAACACCAAATGAAAATTTTGGAAACTTCCACAATGGCTGAAGATTTGTTATATGGCCCAGGAATAGATGACTCGGTGTAAATGAATTAATAATTCGTATTTCTGTACGTAAATCCAATGTAAAACTTTGAACGCGTTTTTCTCAAAACTATGTTTTTTTAATGAAATTTATACAGCTTTTATAATACATAATAAACTCGTGCCTGATCGAAGGATTTTTATTTTTTCAAAAATTTGAATTTTTTAAGACCAATTAACTGTTGATTTTTTACCCAAAAATCAAGATTTTTTCTTTCTGATACTGCCATTTTGTTAATTTTTGGAAAAAAAGGAAAGCCTTCGATCCGGCCCTATTCATAAAACTATTTTTTTAATTTGATTGATTTTAGATGAATCTCTAAGGAGTTATGATGGTCACCGCCAGGACCGTTTTTCGAAACAGGGGCAACAAAAACAGCTATAACTTTGGGAATATTGATTTTTTTTTTCTGAAATTTTTGTTACATCAAGTCAAAACATTGTATAATAATGCTGTATTAATATTTTTGTAGAAAAACATCGTTTAATAACAAAAAAAATATACTGAAAACACTCATTTTTTCGTGCCTGCAAGTACCCCTAACCCCTTAAGCCATATAGCAATTTATTGAGACTTTTCATTGAGGAGCTACATGCGTTTAAGTAAAAATTTGCTCAACTAGCCCCGCCCTACCCTACTTCATTTTATCAGACCCTTATAGTAATAGGGCCTACATAAATTATAATAATTCAGTAAAAATAGATTTTTTCTTAGCAAATTCTTTTGAAGTAATAAACAGAACTAATGCTAATAAACACTTTTGTACGAGTTGTTACCTAGATACAAACAAATTGATTCTTGTACGGAATCCATATGCCTGCAAACAAAATAAACTTTTACAACAACATTATACTTCATCTAATTAATTTAAATATCTGCAGAGTTTGAATTATCAATTAAGATTTATGAATTCGTAATCTCTTAGTATAACTATAAAACATTCTCAAAATTACAATTTATATTCCATTTGAAATAACTTTTGTGCTACAAGATTTTAAAAATTTATCCAATTTGGATAAGATAATAACGAAATTTTATAAATTCCAGAATATATCTAAATGCTAAAATGTTATAGAATGTAATGTGTTTCAAAACTATGTTAAGAATGAGCTCCTAGCTTTTTACTTTTTATTTCGCATAAAAGTTTAATTCTTGAAGTATTTAAACGACTATAAGGTTTCTAAACTATTTATGAATTAGTATACTATGATTAATGTAAATTTAGTAATTCAAGTGTACTTATAATGGTTAGCATACAAAATGTAAGACTTCTAATGATACGATATAATAAAATATGTGTTTTAATGATATGATAAAACAAAATATGTGTTACATTCACAATTATCTTCAAAAATGTTCATATAAATTCACATCATAAAAGTTTCATTTTAACAACGCGTATGATAGAGGAGGTAGAAACTGGACGTGACATTTTTGTGCAAACTATCATAATTTCTATAAAATTTAATATTTGTAGAGACGACGTAACAAAAATTTGAGAAAGTGATAGAAACTGGTTGTGACATTTTTGTACAAACTTTTGGGAAGTTTAGTATTTGTATATACGGCACGTAGCAAATTATAAATGCGTTATGAAACAGGAGTTTAAACCCGCGTTAGTTATTAGTTTGCTGATTGCAATATAAAAAACAATGTTTAATCAAATTGGAACTAAACAACGACGCATTTCAAATAGTAATAATTCAAATAGTAATAATAGTATCAAAATTTATTGTGCGGCGTGTATATTTTTGTCTTAACCCTGTATGTCTACTGGGGCGCTTTTTGCAGTAGAGATACTGCTGTACGAGCCAACCTGCCGCCTAGTAACGTTACTGAACAGACCTCAAACAACAATAAAATAAAATAATATATACAGTTCTAAATAACTAGAAACTATAATACTTAATAAGAATCTTTGGTAATTCAGAGTGATAAATACTGTTGTAAGGAAGGGTTGACACCTGGATGTCGTCTATGAGCGACATCCGTACACAATGGTAGCCTTTTGGCGATATTCGTACGCACATCATGCGATTGTCGTAACAAAAGAGTTATAATTTACAACATTTTTACATAAATAGTTTATAGACACAATTTTATTCTATCACTAACTGATAATTTCAAGTAGCAACTAACAACATAGTTAGAAGCCAATCATAAATCTTAATTATTTTTGAAAATTGGACATAGCTGTGTGAGGTACACTCTCCTTAATTGATTTTGAATTCACTATGTATTTTATTTTTTTAATTCCAGATTAGTTGATGTAGCTTAAACGTAACAAATATTCTATCATGTTAACCTATTCTTTATGCTAGTTTTAATGATAACAGTATACACAAACCGCTATTGATGATTTTCTTCTCTATTGTTCTAACATCGGTAGGTTTACTGTTAAAAACATATTACCAAAAGTAAACCAGCAAATCGTAAATGCTTATTATTGAGCTGAATTCATTTTTGTTGCAATAGTTTTTCCTTGTGGCAGAACTAGATTAATATTTTTTAAATTCGCAGAATTTTTCTCGATTGGATACAAATTTTTATGTGTAGAGCTCAATAATATACTGTAGCTTGATGAGATGTTTTGAACAACTCTTACCCTTGTTTTATTTTGTCGGTATATTTTCCGATCAGAATTTCCAATGTTTTTACATAAAGCTTTTTATATGTATTTTGCCTAGGTCTGCCACAGAATGCAAATGTGAACTCTTTCTATCATTTCCAATTTTCTTTTTCCACGCATCGCTGACTACGTTTTATTTTTTATGCTTTCTCTCTGCAAATCTCTGAATTTTTATTCGCATTATCGAATGATGAGACATCACAAATATTTACACAGCCTATATCACGCTGAAAAGCTTTTTTGTCTTTCTGCAATATTGAACTTAGTTTATTTGCATGCCAAATTGAGTGATCTTTTTGTTAGATGATTATTTTATGAATAGACATATAAATGTTGACATACAGTTTGTGTTGACATTTGAAAACAAAGTGCATAATAAATGATTTAATGAATTAATGAGATACAAATATTGCGTAAATGTCAGTCAAATATTCTTCTGGGAAATCTCATGCAAAGATATCTCCAATAGATTTTCATGAATTGAAATATGTGAAATATACATGATTTATTATTCCATGAATTATATGTATATATGCTTTCAATTTCAGTAAAAGTTGAAATAAATTACTTTTATTGTAGATTGTCAAAAACTTCTATAAAAACTAGAGAAATTTGGAAAAACTAAAAAACTTTGGTTAAAAATCAAAGAAAAAATTTTGAGGTTAGACAAAAATTATTTTGTCGTGATACGGACTCGAAAACTGTGTATAAATTTTATTAAAATTATCTTACATCATTCATAGTAAATTTTACTAATAATAATCTTGTACAATTTTTAGGACTTAGTCTAAAAAGTCTATTTAATATTGTAATTACCTGTCAATTTGCATTTAGACCATAATTAGCAATAATTATCCGTAGCACTAAACATTCGTCTTGTAACTTAAAGTTCTATTGACGGTGTTCTAGATATTTCTTAATTTTAGTTTAATTTTATTAAATTTAGCTATATAAAAAAGCAGTTTTACTAATTTATGAATACTTGATCAATCATATTTTTATTATTACATACGTGATAACTCAATATTATACAATTTTCTCTTTTACAAAGGACTTTGCATTGAAATAAGGGCATATTGAAATGGCATATAGTTCACTTACCATTTTATAGTAGGTAGTTGTCTAACGATTACATTAAAAGAAACTAAAATTTATTTTTTAAAATTATAAAATTAAAATACAAATTAGTTAGTTTTCATCCAGAATCAATATTGACTTAGATCAATTTTTAGTTTTATTTTCAATCTTCTATAGTAGTTTTTTGTTAGTTTACATTTTACATATCTAGGATTTTGAATGCTTCTTCTTTTTAGTTTAAGACATAAGTGTCTTACCTTTGATCTTGAGTAAAATTTCCAATCTTTATTCAGATGAGCTAGTACGTTAGTACAATACCCAGAGTTTGATCCTTAACCCTTATGCTAGGAGCGTCACCTATAAGCGACATCTGTTTGACGACGCATGTCTACGTTTGTCGTCTATGGACGACAACGTACATCGACTTTGTCTTCAAAATTTATTATCCTGAGTTAAATTATTGAAAGTTCTAATTTGTTATTTTAAAATCTAGTTCTTTAAAAGTGTAATTGTTAATTTTTAACTATATTTTATTTCCAATGTTGTGTAAAAAATATTGTAGACGGCTTCTTGTCTCGTGCAGGAGTGTCACTTCTCCATAAAACACTCTTCTAGCGAAAGGGTTAACTCTGGACTACACATTTCTAAAACTTGCGCATGATCGTAAATTTCAATATAATCGCGCTCTAAATTAATTGTTCGTTTCATAGTTTGATTGATGCTAAATTGATATTGAATGCTCACATCAATTCTATCACATTCTGTATGATATATCTGCAAAGCACCCTCATAATGTAATAGTGGCTCACTCTAATTGCGTATGTATATAATGCATGCGGTCATGGAATGATAGCAGGACGATAATATTAATTTCGATCAATTAGGTGGCAAGGGCACTCAGTCTGATGAAGAGAAGCAGGCAGCCTGCAGGCAGACCAGAACCGAGAGGGACCCCAAGCAGATCGAAATCGAAAATGCCACGCTCAAAGTAAGTGGAAACAAATGATTACTTACCCAACTTATATAGCTAACAACCCAATCAGACTGTATTATTAGAAATTATATATTATTAGTTATAAACTTATTGATAGATACAAATGTTATTTTTATTAGAAGCATGAAATACTATTGAAAATATTTGATTCTAAAAATATTTTTTAGAGAGAAGCAAGAGAAGCCCGCCAACTCGATCAAGATTTACTTAACCAGAGACGAAACCAGGAAAAAGAAAGACAGGTGACTGCATTTATTATATAGATATTTATGCATGTTTTTGAGATCAAATTGCAAGAAATACGTTATTTAAAATCTATAATTTACTAATAATAATAATATTTTAAATTTTAGTTGAAATTAGATGTAAGATAGGTGTAAGTAGTATTTTGTTTTATGGTAAATTGTATAAACTTCTCTAAATATGTGAATATAATGGACTTGAATATTAAACATTAAGATTTATAACAACATTTAAAAAATAACAAATAAATTTTAAATTTTTAATGAGTTGAGCCTATAATATTTTTGGATATTTTTTTGACCTTGAACTTTATTGGCTCACATACATATATGTACTATTTCTAATTTTGCGTATCCAACGATTCAGAATGACTTGAAACATAGAAAAAACATGAAATTAGCAAATCGGATTTTTGGCGAAAACATAAAATTCCACTTCAGAAAAAATGTTACAAAATTCTTAAAGTGATATTCTTATACTTAAATATTGCATAGCATGGTTCGAATTTGAACCATCGAAGAATTAATTCAGTCAGGAATGTCAGAACTACTTACAGAACAACTAGTGTAACCGCCTAAAAAAAGGTGATTTTTGGGAATTTAAATTGAATACTTTATCAATCATTTCAAAATTTTAAGAATATATTTATACATGTTTTAAGAACACATAGTAAAATTTTTGAAGAAAATAATTAAATATTTTTTAAGTTATCGTCGATTTCCAACGGCGCGAAAAAAGGCCCTTCACTGCTGCAGTGATTCTGGAAAAAATCAAACATTTACAAAATGGCGGCATTTAAAAAAAAAGGTCAAATTTTACCCAAAATTTTGGTCATTTTTAGACTGCCAAAATTCGATTTTTGATCCGATCAAAAAATCGATAGTTCATTTTACGGAGAACTATGTATAGAACACGTAAAAAAATTTGATAGTGATCGGATCATTTGTTTTTGAGTAATCGCTGCAGCAAATTCGGAAAATGCTGTTTCGAGAAAAACGCGTTTAAAGATAAAATGATCGTTATACTATATACTATATATATATATATATATATATATATATATATACTCTTCAAATGGCTGTAACTCAAAAACTTTTTAAGATCGATTTAAAATGTTAGTATGTTATTTTTAAAGGTATAACTTATCGAAATATGGAAAAATTAAAAATTCGATTTTTTGAAAATTTCACACTAGATGTGCCCTTTAAGGGGTTAACAAATATCGAACTGTAAGAATGATAAATGGTGCGTCAAATAGATGAAGAAGTAGATAACAAATTCTAAAGCTCTTTTGTGAAGTCTACATATATTCCTTGAACTATGTATTCCTAACAAATATTTCGGTTTTAGGCACAGATGGAACGGGCGACGGAAAGACAAAACAGTATACAATGTTGGGAGCCTCCGGCATGGGATCACCACCATTCCCAGCACAGCGACGAGCATTCCTCCCACACCGACTCGTCGCACAGCGGCATCCACCACCACCATCACTACCACGTCGTCAAAGACACGGGCCAACAGCACCACGTAAGTTAATATCTCGTAACGTAATACAGTTTTGATAATAATCAGGAATAGAACAAGAGGTAAATGGCACTGTGTCTTGAGGCAAATTGATGAAACTTATGAACAATTAGTGGTGTATTGTATTACGCCTTATGAGGCATATTACAGAAACTTCTCGATCTCTAAATAACATTTATAGAAAAAAATAAGTTCTAAGTTCTTCACTAAGTTCTAAGTTCACTAGAATGAGAGCATCGAGTATCTACTGAGTATCTGAGTGTTTTTCGAGATTGTACTCTAGTTTGGTACTATTAACGGGATCGATACTACCAAAAATGTATCGAACATATCGAAAAGATAATTGCCACCTAATTACAGTCAACATTGATACTTAAACAGATTTTTTTGACATTTTTTTTACTTAAATTAGTTCGTTTTAGTTGTATATTATTAGATTGGCAACTAAGTATGTGCGGTTTTCAGCTTGGATGGTTTTAATTGAGTTTTTAGGTTTACTAAAATATCATTTATCAATGGATAGAAGACAATTTATATGTCCATAAGTAAAAAGGAGCTTTTGATCGATTGCGTAGTTGTCTTTTGGCGTTTGATGAAAGATGGAACATCAAATCGATTTTTTTTTTGTTATATTTTGTTTTTTTTTACAAAGATTAAGAAGCAAATTAAGCTCTCAAAAAATTATAAACTAATTAAAATAAAATTTATTGTATTGAAGCCTCAAACACGGCTGTGTTAAATTGGTTTGCTAAGTTTAGTTCTGGTGATTTTTTACTTAAAAATAATAAACTCAAAGGAACTGTATATTCTCGTTCTTACTACCTAACCGAACGATCAATTATGATTTCTACATTGCACAAATAACGAAATTAAACAATGAAGTCAAAGAAAAGCGTCCTAAAATGACAATTCAAAACGGTGATTTATTCCATTATTGATATCGCATATCTTTGGCCACTCGGCAAAAATTATTGGAGCCTGGTTGGGATATATTTCCATATCCACCAAACAAACCTGCAATTGCACCTTTTGATTACTTCTTATTTCGATCTTTACAAAACTTCTTGAATGGTGATAATACAATGATTATGATAGTGTCATATTGTACCTGATACAGATGTTTTGTAATAAAAAAGCCAAAAGTTTTATGTTGCTGCTGCTTGAGAAAGATGATGACAAATAGTCATTGATCGAAATGAGTATAACATTCAAAAATAAAGTAGCTTAGCTCAATGAAAAATGTCATCTAACAAAAATTAACCAGCATATTAAAATTATAAGAAAATTGTTATAATTTATCTATCGAATGGAAAACCAACAATTGAGTTGCTTTCCCAAAATATTATTATTTTAATCCAATTATTGCTGCAATTATTGGCATTGCTGCAATATGTTAATAATTATTATTTTATTACTATCAAAAATGACAACAACATTAAAATCGAGTCTAACATAAAAATAGAGTGGACAACTATTGGGTTGCAATGACATGTATAATCACAACAGCTTATAGAGCTTTAAGTTCAGATTGCTGAAAATAAAATATTAACTTAATTCTTTAATACCACTAGAAATATAGATACTTTGTAATAATACTAATAATACAATTTCTGTCAATTTTGAACGCTCAACGATAACACCCTTTATGTACCATATGTAAAACATGAAAAGTTATCATGAAGCTCATTTCAAAACTGTCGTCTTTTTTTATAAAACATTTCACATACTTACTTTTTTCAAATTCTATATTTTCACTTAACAGAATATGCTCTGAATATTTCATTTCAAACATTTACATTTTTTGTAAAACAGTGATAATTTATAATTGTAGTATTTCCTCGTTTAAGATCTTTTACATAAGATGCATATAATTGGCTGATTAAAATAAGCTCTTAGTAACATTATCACTAATAGCTTTTCTGGGCATTGTATTGAATAAAACTATGAAATATATAATATAACACTTGCAATATGTAGACTTACATTATGAGCTATTCAAGATATTTGAATAGTAGTAGTTCTTGGTAACCAATTAAGCTTGTTGTTTTGAAGGGTATAAAGCTTTCTTTGAAGCTGTACAAGTGAAGTATTTGCACGTTCAGAATATTTCACAGTGAGCATTTTCATGTATAAAGGAAAATTGTAATGCTGTAATTTACAAGTTCTTCCAATCAAGCAGCAATGTACAAGAAAATTTAATTAGTTGTTTGCTATAAATAATACATTAATAGATAGTATTTTATAATATTTTATTGATTTCACATTTAGATGAAAAGTTTTGCATACAACGCTTCTTAACGGTTTTCAATATTACAAATTTTAAAATTGTTAGATACATAGTTTGCTTGTTAGTAAAAATTACATTATCAATTTACTAATACAATCTTGATCAATAAAATTAAATTAATATAAAAACTTTACCATTATTTACCTTCTAAATTTTTAATAGAATGTTGTTCATGCATTTTTAGTACGGTTTTCAAAACCATACTACCGCATAAGTTGGAAAATACTAATAAGATTAAAAGCTATAGTAGTAATATCAAGTTAATAAGTATCAAAAATACTTCATATAATAATAAAAATGCTCATTATTTACAGAAATATCAACCGCAACTCAAACAAACTTCGCAAGAGGAAGGTTCACATCATTCGCAAGACGATGGTGACGACAGCAAACGTGAAAAATCAAAAAGACATAGTGCGGATCTCGGATTAAATTTAAAGGTGAACATTGTATATTCGGATATTTTTTTTATCTGGACTTTTCTGAAACTAGAATCTACCATTCATTTCGGAAATATTTTGACTTAATACTTCTATAGATGATATTTAAATTTTCGAATCAGCTTGTCAATAACCAAGTTGTTAGAACACGATTTTTATCTTAGAAATATAACAGTAATCTGAAGTATATATTTTAATTAACTATAGTTGCAGTTTCAACACGTGGCAAAATATATTAAAAAATCTTATTCGTTTATTATGATTTTTCATATAAAATTAAAAACGGTCGTATTAAATTTTAAGAATGCCGGTTATATACAATAAGAGATGATATCAAATGTAGATGAATTTCATAGTGTTTATGTTTGAAATTGTAAGTTCATTACTCAAGTAATTGGGACGCCTTAATTTACAAGTGCCTATAGTTTGGTGTCATAATAAGTTAGAATGATAAGATATTGGATGAAAAAGATGGTTTTATTCAATAAAATTGAAAATATCATCACTAATATCTACTTATTTTAATAATAAAAGCATATATTGCATAGGTACGTATTAAATTAAAGACGCCAGAAATTCAATTTAATATTACACATATATAAATAAGAACTCAAACACTTTCTGTTGAGTAATATCCAACGCAACTGAGTATTATACTCAAAAGTACTTTACCAATCCAGTTCTCGCAGATTTATTTATACATTCTATAAATATAAATAAATATTTATATAAATCAATTCTTATTCAAACTGGTAAAGTTTTTCTGTCTGTAATTATATGGATTCAAAAAATTATCTCGACTTATTAAGACTTTCTATTTGTTTGTCTTATTCTAGAATGGTCTTAATATATTCTAAACATCTTGAAATTTGAGAATGTATTTTGTTTTTCTCAAAAATTGTATTTTATATAGCCAATGGTTCATGAACTCGGTGAAGAGTACTATTTTCACAATTATAATTAAGTGTACTATATTCACAAGGAGTGAGTATAGTACCATCCAACGTCATGGCTAGAAATGTAGTAAGGTACCATGCCCTCGAACGGATAAAAAAGAACCGACCCCTTTCTGAAATCCTCCACTAACATTTGGATATAAATTATTTTATTTTTCAATTTGTACTTACTAATGTATAATACTACATTTGCCCCCGTTGGTTTTATTTAAATTTTTTGCATCAGTACTGCTATTACTTCTTTAGGCTACATAATCAACTTCAAAACGGATTACTACTGGGTGACCGCTCGACTTTTTTGCCATGACAGATTGTAATTCATAAAAGCAAATAAAAAAACATAGCTAATGGTTACTGATTCATAAGCATGACGAGTATACGCGTCAATACACAAAATTTTGCAACTACTCCAGGACGAGCATATTTGTCAGTCATTATTAACTGGTTATGGCTTTGTTGAAAGAAATTTCATTGTTAGTCAATGCTACTTCACAGCCATATCATATTGCTGTTGTATGAACCTACAATAATTAAACATAAATTAGTGTTTAATAGAATATAAACAATTCAAAATTTCATATACACATATGTCGTTCCGTATCATGCCTCATAACTTTTTATTTGCAGAACACAGCTCGGCCAAATGGTTCTATTCACGGGCCGGCCGTAACGAGCGCGGCATCTGTGAACGCGGCCGGGGCAGTCGTTCCGCCCGTGTGCAGTCCCCCGCAAGATATGGTAACGAGTAAAGCTGGATTGATGGCGCAACGAGCTTTGTGAGTACATTTATATATACTGTTTCTAAACTTACACTAATTTTAAAAGATATATGAATATTTATGAAGTTATACTTTTAATTTAACTTGCAAAACTTAACTTGATAGATATTATATAGAAATATCACATCCGGAAAACAGTCATTTTGGCCATTTAAAAGGAGACCGACTGTTTTATTTGTTGAAGTAAATCTTTTAACAATAAGTTTAACAAGTTTCAGTTAAACAATTAGTGCTGCCACAAAAAAAGCATGAAATTCATAGGAATTGCCTGAAAACGATTTAGTTAGTGTGAAAATGTTTTAGACAGTATGAAAATATTCTAGATAGTCTAAAAATGCTGTAGGTAGACTGAAAACGTTGCAAGTCGTCTGAAAATTTTGGAAATCGTCTGAAATGTTGAGAGTAGTATAAAAACATAGTAAGTTGGCTGGAAATTGTAAATCAAGCTGGAACGGAAGCTAACATTAAGCAGCAGTAGTTTTTTTTTAAATATTGAAAGGGTTAAACTTAAACATTTCGTGCCTTGCTTTAGTTCATCAATATTATATTTTTGGATATTTCTTTGCTAAAAATCGAGAATTAAAAGATGCCATCAACTGCCAATTGCAAATAATTTAAGGTCAATAAAATTAAAGAGCTTGAAAGAAATATTACGAGTAGACTAAACTTTCACCTCCTACTATTTTTATTTTCGCATTAAAATTATAGCTTCTTTTAGGCGGACTAATTCCACACATTATCTTTTTCATATTCCACACAATATATTTTATGAGTTTTGTTAGAGAATATATTAGAGAATAATGAAAATTTGATTGATCTTAGAATTTAAACTTTAATAACTATGCTCTAAGCTTTTCTTTCGAATCTCTCGTATCAATTATATTAGTAGTTTGAGTCTTGCTTCAATGTTCCAATTATTAATTGCTTGGATTTAAGCCTTGTGTTATTGATGAAGTACATTTTTTTACTAAATGATGGCCTCAATGTTTATTCCATTGTATACAGTAATTTAGATAATTATATATATATATATATATATATATATATATATAAATCGATCGAATCGTAAATTATGTTTTCCTTAGGATGAAACACCAAACAGAAATCACAATGAAACAAGTTGAAGCACTAAATATATAATGCAATAATATTAGAAAATCGAATGAATATTATGTGTCATGAGTAGCTTTTCATTTTAAAAACTATGACATTGAAAATTGAAATAATTCTTCCTCATCAAATAGAGTTGAGTTTTCTACGGTTTCGAAAATAGCTTCTATCTGAGCCGTCAACCCTTACAAAGCATATATATAGTGTAGTCCTCTATGATGATAATACTGGAAGATAACATTTTTGAGCGGCACTTTTGTATATTGAAATAACTTTCTAAAACATATTTCTTATTCAGAAATGATTAGTTTTTCATTTACTTGTTGTTGGTAATGTTTCAATTATATTTTGTCACTTTTATTTTGTCAAAATTTCACTTGTTTTTTTTGATTCTACTTTTATTAGTAAGTAGTTTTTTCGTTAAGTAACTAATTAATTGAACAAAGTTGTTGATTAAACTAAATTTATTATAATTTTATTAAAATTTATTATATCGGTTATTATTTTATTGTGTTAAATACTTTTGCCTGATATTAACTGTCAATCACATTCTCAGTAAATCAGAACATTCACAAAATGTTGAGGTATATAGTTATTTATTTTGTAACAGTTAATTACTAATATTGTTTTTCTTTCTTTTTAATTCTGAATATTAAGTATTCTGTTAATCTTCATTGATTAAACAAAACTAATAATCTTGCTATTGCATTTAAATTTGATACATGCATGGTTACAACATATCTAATAGAATAAGAAATATATCTATCTTCCTGGAAAAAACCCACAACTAATTTACTTATCTAGTAGTATAACCTTTAAATTACAATGAAGTACACCAGTCTTACAGTAATAAGCGCATTATATACTATATCTCTAAATATTACCAATAATTGTTGTTCGTATATAAATTAATATAAACAGAACAATCTGTATTAAAAATATTTGTTGGAATGTGTCCACTATTATATTTCTACAGTTGAGATATGGCATAACTTTGCATGATATACAATTCTGTTTCTTGTTATAGAACAAATAACATAATACTCTTTTGATTTGTTCGGTTTATTGTTACATTGATATCTTTGCCAAGAAGATGATCAAGTGAAGTTCTCAGCTTACGTCTATTAAATTAAAACTTGTATAACTTTTGTATTGGAATAACATCTATCGATGGGAAGATAATCAGAAATATTGTATTATACATCTTCAAAATGCTAGATGCATTAGATAATATATATATATATATATATACATATATATGTGTGTGTGTGTATGTATAATATCTGATTGGAAAAGCATTTTAATTAATCGCCTCTCAAAGTATTTTGCTTCTATATGCAGGCGTTGATTTTATTAAGCGAATTTGCGAAAAGGAAGTAAAAACTAATTAGCGTCTCGTGTATTCTCGCTTAAGTCATTTAAAACAACTTCTAATAATTAAGAATCATGAATAATCATTCACGTTTATTTTGGCTCCGACAGATTAATTAACGAATCAGGATATTAATTTAAAAATCCCTTATATTCATACCAGAATATCTGAAGATTTTAAATTAGTAATTATGGACTGAACTTTCACAGAAGATGTTTTGATTAAAGTTTTTCGTCAATCTGATTGTTCCTCAATCTTGAAAAATAAATTGTAAAAAAGTTATATTTGCTGATTTAAATAAAACAAATGTGAATAGTTATCCTAGTTTACGGCTTGGATTTGTTCTTTATTTGATCGGAGTTTTATTTAGGCAAAAAACACTTGACTATTATATTCTTCTATTTTCTTTTATTAGACAAATTTTACCAATTTTTATATAACTTTTGTTTGTAAGATTGCAAGATTAATTGATATCAAATATTTTATTATTATATAGTGATTTATACTATAGTTAGTGTATAATTAATACCCCTGCGCGAATAATCCCAGTTCTAGAAGTCACAAGTATACGGACAGATAATAAATTTCCACAGGTTCATTTTTTGTATCTTGAAATAATAGAGGGTTGTTTAAATAAATATTTTCATTAGGAAATTCATATGAATATTTCATAAGATTTTTCTCAACGTTAAATATTCCGAAGCTTGTGCAAATGGAATAGACTGGAATAACGAACAATTTTACAATACGGGTATATAATTAGAATATAAATGATATAGATTCATTTAACTAAGCTCTGCAACTTCTGTGTAACTACAGTTTTGGAAGAAGTAAATTTTAGTCACATGATCTAGTTTTTGATAAATAATGTATACTTCGACTTGAGCGCTAAGTATTATGTAGAAGCCAATTATTAATATATTCAGATTGCAAAACTTTTGTTAAAGATTTTGTTTTTAAAATATAGTAGTAGCCAAATTTGCAATCTAAATAGTGATATATTTAAACGAATGACGATTTTACTAGTCAATATACAGATTTTGCCAATTTGCCGTGACGTGTATATTGGTCAATTGCAGTTAACTGTTTAAAAATATATTTGCCAAAAATACTTATTACGTTCAGAGCGGATAGTGTTTATTTTTTATATTTTGAAATGGATGGTCGTTAATTACACGTATAGTTCAGGCGCTATGGGGTATCAAATATGCATAATGTGATGACCGCCAATTCTCTTCAAATTCTTTTACCTAAGATACCGAATAAATAGAAAACCCAGCTTCGGTACCATTTTCCTGTACCTGCTTTTTTCCATTACTCATGCGGTTGTCGTAGCCAGTATAAAACTATTTTCGGTGTCTAATCGTTTACTTATTTTCGTATTCACATCAAATAATATAATATTATTTATGTTTATTTGTATTTAAGATGAAATGGCTGGATCTGGCTGAAAAGTAATCAGCACGCCTGTCTATCAATAGGAATCGATTATGTTTTTAATTATTCAAACCGATTCCCGAAATCGTCGACGAAACTTTGTATTCCCACATACATACACATGCACACATACATGTATCTAGTTTTTCTAAGGTATGTCAAAATGTTCCAAAGACTTTGAAACGTAAATTTATATTAAAATTTTCTATATTTCTCTATGATTCCGATAACTTATTCTACGGGAAGTTAAAAATTGATAAAACCAAATTTTTAGAGTTAACTTGATGTTTTTTTGTCAACTGTCTCGCAATGTTGAAAAAATAATTAATAAGAATTTAGAATATTTCTTTCAATTCACTATCGTGTCAAATATTTCATAGTTAAGGCGTTCGCGCGATGACTCGTATTCATCCAACTTATATCAACAATATCGACCGTACGTCACGGTTATGAAGCGGTTGAACAGCCGCACATGACGTGAAACGAGCCCGTCGTCTCTAACACGCCTTGCAAAGTCTTACGAAAACGTGCTACGGACGCGCGGCATCCGGCGAACCTCACCGAGTTCGTGTACTACTACGCTTTTACATCTGCAGTGCGGCACGCGTTCGGTGGGTTGAGCGGGGTGAGATCGCCGACCCATTCCTCCAGGCCGGGGTCCGCCGACCTGCCGGCAAATTCGCGCGCGGCTGCTACCGTTTTGCGGCTTTCGTTATATTTACTCGCCGGTAATGTGTCGATATCACCCTAATAAAACATAAAATAAATGCAACCTTTTTCGCGGTTCGTTTTCGTTATATGGCACACCGTTTGAGCAGATATTCGTCATGTTTGCACATGTCACTGGTTCAAACAGTTATCGAATATCAAATGTGGGTGTGCGGCTCAGCGATATGAGATTTTTGTTTGGATGATATTTACGAAATACAAGTAAATAAATTGATGATGATATAATTTGAAATTGGATTAAGGTAAATAGACTAGAAAAATACGCTTATAGGATAACTTGACATGGGATGAAAGTTAAATATTTGAACAAACTCGGTAGTTGTTGTCCATGGATATCAGATATCGATAA